GTGTTGGAAAACATGAACCAGTGTTCCATTTTCCAAGGCACTTATTTCTTTTCTGGTCTCCTCTTCAATCTCATCTGCGTCCTCAAACTTCTGACCTCAAAGTATTTCTTTCAGTAAAAATAAAAACTGAAAAAAGCCACAAGGGGCTAAATCTGGCTTATAAGGTGCATGCCGTTGCAAATCTCACACAAAGGTCTAGAGAAGTTCAGAGACCACTCTGAATTTGTAGAGAGGTGCGTTGTCGTGGTGGAATATGATGTCAGTATATCGGGTTGTCTTTCTGTGAATGGCTGGACTTACTTTGTCTTTTATTAGTGGCCGGTAGTATGTTCACCATTGACAGTGGTGCCAGCGGGAACTGGCCAACAACAACAACAAACAATGTGCTTGTATTGTCAAAGAACACAATATGCTTGTATTGTCAAAGAACACAATATGCTTGTATTGTCAAAGAACACAATATGCTTGTATTGTCAAAGAACACAATATGCATGTATTGTCAAAGAACACAATATGCTTGTATTGTCAAAGAACACAATGTGCTTGTATTGTCAAAGAACACAATATGCATGTATTGTCAAAGAACACAATATGCATGTATTGTCAAAGAACACAATATGCATGTATTATCAAAGAACACAATATGCTTGTATTGTCAAAGAACAAAATATGCATGTATTGTCAAAGAACACAATATGCATGTATTGTCAAAGAACACAATATGCATGTATTGTCAAAGAACACAATATGCATGTATTGTCAAAGAACACAATGTGCATGTATTGTCAAAGAACACAATATGCATGTATTGTGAAAGAACACAATATGCATGTATTGTCAAAGAACACAATATGCGTGTATTGTCAAAGAACACAATATGCGTGTATTGTCAAAGAACACAATATGCGTGTATTGTCAAAGAACACAATATGCATGTATTGTCAAAGAACACAATATGCTTGTATTGTCAAAGAACACAATATGCTTGTATTGTCAAAGAACACAATATGCTTGTATTGTCAAAGAACAAATATGCTTGTATTGTCAAAGAACACAATATGCTTGTATTGTCAAAGAACACAATATGCTTGTATTGTCAAAGAACACAATATGCATGTATTGTCAAAGAACACAATATGCTTGTATTGTCAAAGAACACAATATGCATGTATTGTCAAAGAACACAATATGCTTGTATTGTCAAAGAACACAATATGCTTGTATTGTCAAAGAACACAATATGCTTGTATTGTCAAAGAACACAATATGCTTGTATTTGATTCCTCTTGGTTTTCTTGCGCCTTCGTCAAAGCTTTACCCTGGGACCTGACCATCAATGATTTATTTATAGAGGCACCCTGGGATATGTGATATGAATACACACATTTTTGAAACGTCATAGCTGACATCAAAATGTTATTATCACTACAACTTTTGGCACAGAAACAACGAATACATACTTCTACGACGTCGTAAATTTCCAACGTTGTAGTTGGAATGGTCATGACGTTACGGAAAAGTGAAGGGAAACTTCATTATGAGACACACTTCGTAATTAACGTTTTAATATTTTTTGTGTCGCAAACATGTAAAGAAGTAATATTTTCTGTGTTGCAAATATTATTTAAGATAATATTGATATAATATTTCCTGTGTTGCAAGCATTTACATGGGTTTTGGTAGGCGTTTAGTCACATCTGTTGGCCTTCACATTCCCATCCTTTTTTTTAAAGCAAAAGTTGGAGTTTTGCCAATCAACAGCTGTGGTAGAAGCTGTTTCAAACTTGATTAATACCATGAAGTTCAATGTTTGAATCCGAGATGAGTCAAATATTTCACGTGTATTTTCTCTTCCTTACTGGACTTGTGAGTGTTTGTTTGTTTGGGGGGGGGGGGTGTCAGCCTGTTGCCCATCTGTGGTCTCTTCATGTCTTACCATGTGGGTGGTTGGCGGGTGCTCTGGTGTGGTTTGCTTCTTCTTTCATATGAAAAATGTATCGTCCTTATTTCCCCTATTTCTTTTTTTATGTACGTTACTCTCTTGTAACACCTCTAATCTTCTGGCGCTCATATGACCTTATGCAGTTGCGAGTGCCGTAAAACCTCTACTAAAACTAAACTAAATGTCTTACCATGGCGATCAGCTGGGTTAGGTATTTTTGGATGGTCTTGTTCAGTGAGAAAAATGTAATACATTGCAGATATTGCCCTTTCCGTCCTTTGGCGTATGAATGTTCTGAAATCTATTGTAATAATGTTGTCTGTGCCGTTTTACACAAGAGACGTGGGCTAGATTCCCGCGTGTTGAAGTTTTATTTTATCGAGTGTATCCATCTCTCTGCTGGGATGTAGTTACCGGTCCGGACTGGCCCTGACAGACATGGTCGCGGTGGCCCGCCTCCTAATTATCTAAACTGTGTCGACGAGGACGGAAAATATTTCAAATCAATTGGAGTTTTTGGACCCTCTGGACCCCCCCCCAACCAGGGCAGTGCTACTGACTGAAGTTGTCTTTGGGCCATTCCCAAAGGGGAGGATATTAACATGTTCTTATGCACAGTAGATTTGTAAATGGGCTGGTTTATCGATGTCATGCTCATACCGTACCGGAACAACATAGGGGGAACTACTGCTTTTTCTTTCCTCATCTTTGCTATCGTCATTTTTCCTCTTATCTACTTCTTTTGTATGTTTGTCACTCTCTTTTGAACTGCTATGTCCGGGTTGCCTCGGTAGTTCGAAGCAGACCTTGTGCTGTTGAGGCTAGAGTGGTGAGTAAAGTAAGCCTGATTCCCCGCTTGGTCTTCTCCGCTGACATCCACCCTTTGGCGCTCATATGACCTTATGCAGTTGCGAGCGCCATAAAACCTTTCTAAAACAATAAACAAAAGCACCCTATGAGCTGTCGTGCGGATGGTTGGGAGGGCGCCACAGGCAGGCCCTACTTTTTTACTTTCCTTCTGCTGTTTCTGTCTGTCCGCCTTTTCCCAGCACTAAGTGACCATTATAGTGTCGATGTGTTTCGTTTTACTCAAACAGACAAGCATTGGGCTGTCTACCCGAAGAGCGGCTCTCTTCAGCTAAAAAGGATCGCACAAGAACGACATAAGGCTTTGACGGACAGGCAGAGTGTTGGGTTTGGGGGAGAGGGGGGGGGGTAGAGATTGTTCACGACGTTGTGACAAGTCCATAATATGATAAACTGCAAGAGCTCAAATCATCCGTCCCCTTCTTAGGCTAGGTTAAAAGTAAGTCCTTTAATATGCTTTCCGATAGGGAATTTTGGATCTGGTGGATAATCTTTGCTCTCGCCCGCGTGGTTGCTACGGACGCTATCGAATAGCTGCAGGAATGACGGCATACGTCAAGGGAGGAATGAAAGGGGTGTCTGTGGACTGGCAAGCCCATGAATATTTCATATTTCTTAGCTCCGAAATCTATCTAATGCGTGATAGAGGTATGTTTAAAGGGGAGGGCGAGATCGATATTTGTGCTCTGAAAGACGAGATTTATAACTGTTGACTTAATGATTTTGCAGACCCATTTCAACATGGTTACAGATTTGTTTTTCAGAGTAAGAGACTACCAACTGAGAACGGGGTTGGGGGGGGGGGGTGTAGATTTGTTCGTTTTTGGCGACCCCCTCTTCTTTCTTATCTGTCCGTTATTTGACTTACTTGTCTGGCTTTCTGTACCTGCTGTCCTGTACATTTGTCTCATCCTAGCGTTTGAAGTTCACCACCCGTTTACCATAATAATTTAAGATACTCACTTGCAGTATTGAATGGTTTCAGGGATATTGATCATAATATCACCCAATAATGCGTGAGGACAGGCGTCTGTGGTAGATCTATAGCGGCGAAGAGTTTGGCCGTCTCAAGCAGGCTATATTATGAGTTCGATTTCTCTATGGGGAGAGTTTTATTTGGATTTGTTTTGTTTTAATCGAGGATCTGTTTACTGGGACCTTGTATCTTTCTCAGACCGGCTTGGCCTCGACGTCTTCAATTAGATAAACTGTGTCGATTGGGTATCTGATGCATTTGCCATTTCCATTTTTTTATAAAATTTAGAATACTTGAAGAGGTGTGAAACCAAATGCAAGAATATCTTTTTTTTTAAAGTTTTAGTAAGTTTTACGGCACTCGCAACACAATAAAGTCATAAAAATGACGAAGATTAGAGGTGTTACAAGAGAGTAACAAACACACAAAACTTTAAGGAGAGATAAGGTCAACAGTTTGATTGGAAAGAAGGAACAAACCACAGCAGAGCTCCCGCCTACCACTCTCAAGAAAAATGAAAAAAGGGTGTCACGACGCGGTGGAACCAGGCTCTCGTCAATGTTTGGCATATGGAGAGAAAAAAGTACCCGTCTATCTTCAACAGAAATCGAGATATTTGAAATTGAAGGAGGTTTGGGTTGCGTTGTTTCAGAGGTAAAATTAGTGAGAAAATGGCCGGGCTTTAGAGTCCTTGGAGACTAAATTTACATTTTCTGTGCTTTTACTGAACGTTTTTCAGTAAAAATCCACGCAGTAATGTATTTTTAATGGACGTAAAAGATGTTGAGCTAAAAAATAAAAATTCGTCAAAAATTGCATAAAGGAAGAAAAATGTCGTTTTCTTCGATTTCATTTTTTTGACGAGCGCCTGTTTTCACCACGATGCCTCACAAATGTGTTTGGCATGTGTGCTTGGTGATTGAAGTTGGGTGGTAGTGTGCGTCTCTCTCCTATCTGTCTGTCTGCTCATTCGACCGTCATACTACTTTTTGACACGATATTTACGTCATCGAAATATTTCTCTCTTGCTCAAACAACTTAAAAGAAACGAATATATTTGGATATATAAATATCGTGGTCGTAAGTGTATCCCGTTTCGACTACTCTTGCCTAATATTTTGTTTACTGAAGAAACGCCCCCGCCAAATCATGCTACGTTCATTACATGTACTTCTGTCTCGTGCTTGTGGTCGTCTGTCCTAGATTTTGTTTTATGAAAAGTCCACCGTACAGTGTGAAATTGTTCACCCTACAGAACGAAATTGAGAGAAGAACAAAATGGCGGCTGTGTGTGATTATTTAGGGTCTTCGTTGTGCGACTTGATCGTTCGGGGTGAATACACTTCTGCCTTCCGCTTTTGTTGAAATTCGATCGAACTGGTGATTGTGATTTCTGTTGTGGCACTTTCCCCGCTGATAGAAAGGCCCTTCAATGCGTGCGGAGCCTTCTTCACCGCGTCCTTTGTTGACATAAATAGGTGGCAGGGACAGGTTCTAGACCAACGCAAATAAATGCCCGATCCCTTCTGTTGACTCGAGTAGCTTCTTTTGATAACTTGTCAAAGGAGAGTTAAAATCGGAACCGTCGTCTAGCCTAGAGCGAGCTGTCGTTATTCGCTGCTTTTCTTTCTTTTTCCCATTTATATGCGTCATTGGTTTGGTTTACGATAAGCACTTTACCTATCTGTGAGACGTGTAGAGGTGTGTCTTATACTCTGTGTGTGTATTCTGTTGCCCATGGTTACACACGTGGGTAGGACATTTTGAAATTTTATTCTGTGCCCTCCATTTCACGCTGCTTTCTACCAGTCTATGCACGCAGCTAGCTCGACTTCGCATTTGAATTTTTACGGCCAACATTGGCAATATCCCCGAGCGTTGTTTATTGTCGGACATTTTGAGTTCGCCAAGTCGTTTCAGTAGGACGTGCCTGCTTCGTGCTCATAAGCAGTGCGGTTAGTTTTTCTACACGTTTGGTTGGAGAGGTTCTCAGATAACGTGTGTGTAACATTCACTGCAGTTAGTTTTCTCCCTGCAGTTGTGCGTTCAGCTGGGAGTCTACAGTTCCAAAGTTATCACCTGCAGCAGAGAGGCAAGTAGATCATATTAAGAACTTACATATTCATTGCTGATAGCCTTCAAGGGAACCTGCTCGATCATTCCTCTTAGAAAGGTTTCAACTGAACGTTTTGAGGAATCGTGACGTGAGATCAACTTTGTTATGTACTAGAGGACCCTCTGCATTTCACCCGAGAGTACCTATCCGCGATATACCCTGTTTGCTTTCGTGATATCGAACTTACGTGTCATTAGTTGGGACTGATACATGTGTACGGGCTGCTCCGCGAAGTAGGGGATCCACATTGTCCTATTAAATCCGATAAGTTATCTGCAGGGGGTGCTTCTCCCGACCGCCTCTCTGCTATGAGGAGAGCGCGGCTTAGGCCGCCGCTGGGGCGGAATTCCATCGATGGTCGGGGTTATCCTCGAGAGGTCGTCATGCTGGACAGAGGTCAAGCTGAGGGTGAACAGGTGCATCGTATGGTCCAGCGCCAAGTCCCGGTGACCTCACGGGGGTCTGATATTTGAATGTCTGATTCGTGTTGTTGTCATTTCCATGTCGTTTCTCCACGACGATCAAGTATGGCAGAAATGTCGCCTGCAGCGATGGACGTCCCAGTATCCTGCCGTTGAGAAGGAGCGCAACTCTGAACGGAGGGAGAGGAAACTGAATGGTCACATTATTTATCTTGTAACTAAGGAAGCAGAAGATGTCAACGTCACCAAGAAAAGAAAAGAGGAAAATCTTACATAAATATTGGTGACTTATTTTCCTTCTCTCGTAGAAGCATTTTTGTAAAAAGTTCCCACTTTAGGCTACATGAGGACGAAAGCAGGTATGAAAGCTCAAAGCTGTATCAGTCACCGTCGACGATAATTTTAGAAAAGAAAGTTGTGGAGCAGTTTGGTAACATCAAGATCAAGAGTGGAACATCAATGAAGCAAGTCTGATAAAAGTCGGTCATCTAAAGGAGAAAAGTCCCAAGGCTTTCTATAGCTACCACACAACCAAAATGAAAGATCGAATCAGGCCAACGATTCGGACAAGAAAATAATGCGCCAAATTTAGCTCCGAGAAGAGGCGAAAAAGACAGATCTCGCCAAGTTCAGTTCAGAGAAGAGGGGGGGGGAAACCTCGCCGAAGTCCCCCACAACATGCCAATCGGTGACACGGTGCAAGACCTGCGACGGCTCAAGGCCCAGCGCAGCCGCGAGCGTGAGATGAGGGACCTGGAGGAGCGAGTGCTGCTTGACCATCTGCACGACGCTGACCGCGAGCTCCGGGGCACGTCGCCTGCCAAAGGCAACCAGCACAGACGGACCAAGCTGAGCAAGGACAAGGACGTCCGGGGCATGCAGATCCAGGTGAGTCGCCATCTTAGTTAGGTGATTTAGCTCGGAGGGTAGACGGTTTTTTGTTTGTTTTTGTAAAACAGGAGGAAGGGGGGGGGGGAAGAGGCGTGCGTGGGGGTGCTCAGCTGTCTATGTGTGTGTTTTCTCCTGTTTCTTCCCACCTTCACTCCACACCGACCCTCCGCCCTTTATCTTTGTATACCTTCCTCCTTCTCGCCTTCTACCTTCTTCCTTCTCGTTTTCCTTTTCTTGTCCCTGTTCATTCTTCGTTTGTCGTATGGCTCCTTGGATCATATCCAAAGTTTGTATAATATTTTGTTTGTACAGTGTGACAAGATATGAATGTTGACTGATTGTCCAAATGTCTCTATTTTTTTTTAAAATTATGACTGATACAGACAGTTTTTGTAGTGGGTAGGTTTTATTATATTGATTAAATAACTATCATTGACTGGTTGAAGTCAAAGGGATTGATACGTGAAAGTATTCAAATTCAAATAGTGTTGTTTTCTGTGCCATAGTTGTCAGAGACTTGTCACTTGGAACGTTTTGTGCTTCTATGGAAACAATCTAAGGCTTATCCTGATCCCTTTTATACAAGAAAAAATGGGCACACTACTTAATCACTTCCTCTTTATGACTCACTGATTCATTAGCTGACATCTGAATGTCGTGCCTTAAGCCGTTGTGTGATTCAGTAAGCTCCGTGCCAGAGTGTTTCAGAGACCCTGCTTGTTTTTTTCTATTTTCAGTACGAGCGTGACAGAGAGCGGGGCCTGAACAAGGATCAGCGGAAAGACTACCGCCGGAAGAAGGTTGGTTAGGGTTTCTGGCATCACAAGACACCTCAATGCGGGAAATCGCAGCAAACGCCAGCCCGTTATTATGTCCCCTCAATACACCGTCGACGAAAGCCAAGATTAAGAAATCGGCTTTCTTTTCCGTCATGTACGTAGTTGAGGTGGTGTGTGGTCAACAAAGACAACTTATTGTGAAAGTAGTTGATGTCTTTGATAATCACCACCGAATCAAGAGAACTAAAAATTAAAGTAAAGGTCTACTTGACCCTTACCCCCCTTAATCCCGATCTTAGAATAAGTTTAAGTTAAAAGCGTCTTTCCCGAATGACGTCACAGCGAACCGCTTGTCGCCACACGGTGAGAAGAGACCCCGAATGTGCGTAGTATGTCAATTTAGTTCCGAATGAAGGGCTCAAGTAGCCTTTTACAATATTTTTAAAAAAATTTGTTCACCCTAAAAAGCTTGGTATAGCATTGCACCTTCTCGGTGCCGTGAGTGCTTTTGGTAGCGAAATAGCTACCGATCAAAGTTCCTGACATTCCTTCTAGTATAAAGGAACTCTTGTGAACGGTGGGTGGTTAGAGGGTGCCATTGGTATGCCCTACTTCTTTTCTCTTTCAACCTTTCCAACCCTTTGTGCCTGTCGTACTTCACCCCCCCCCCCCCCCCCACACACACACACAAATAACCCTTTGCTATCAATGACCGTCTTTGTGGAGCCGTGGGTGTACTTTTGTAACTCTGGCAAACTGTTGAAGAACGGGGCGACCGGAGCCTTTTTTCGTGAGTTTTTGAACTTTGCTCTGCTTCAACTCGCCGTACCCCTCTGTGGTCTGGCGTGTCCTTGAGTCCTTGTTTTGCATAATCCTCCCCCCGGACGTGTTCACGAGAGACTGTCCTCGGCGGGTAACCAGCGAGTCCCGACTTTGATTTGACGTCCGCTTGCGAGCTTGTCTGTCTGTCCGTACGTCCGCCCGTCCGTCCGTCCGTCCGTTCGTCTGTCTGTCTGTCTGTCTGTCTGTCTGTCTGTCTGTCTGTCTGTCTGTCTGTCTGTCTGTCTGTCTGTCTGTCTGTCTGTGCGAGTGATTAGGGGGTGCCCCAATCCTCCTCTGCATCGTTTCCATTTAGTCTCCGAACATGCAGTTTATCGAGTTCGAGGGGACACATTTATCTATTATGAGTAAATGTTGGTTCACTGTTACGTTAAGTAACATCATTCTGGCATGTCGTAAGCGGGTTAGGTTGGGGGGGGGGGGGGGGGGGTCCTCGAACTTCGAAAGTAATAGGTAGTTGCTGTCTGGATCGTTTCTTTTCCATTCCTAAACTTCTTTGTCTAAAGTTGAGTATTACGTACTTTATATACTATTTACGCAGCTTACGTGAAACTAAATCTGCCGTCTTTGGGGAGATTCTAAAAGAGACTGTCGAAATTGGCCAAGTCGGTCCAGCCGGTGTCGAGGAGAAAGGCGGGGAAGTGGGAATTGGTCTTTAGTTTAGTATTAGTAGAGGTTTTACGGCGCTCGCAACTGCATAAGGTCATATGAGCGCCAGAAGATTAGAGGTGTTACAAGAGAGTAACAAACATAAAAAAGAAGAAGGGGAGATAAGGACGATAGATGTTTGACAGGAAAGAAGAAGCAAACCACACCAGAGCACCCGCCAACCACCCACGTAATGGTCTTTTGTACAAGTGATTGTTTTGGACAGGTGGCCCTCAGAGCAAATTCGAAAACTTTCACACAACCTACGTCACTGAAGCTTCAGCCGGATCTGAAACTGCGGTTCCTGCACATTGGTCAAATGCCCTTCCTCTGGTTTATCGATTTGGACCAGATATAGCTCTCTTGGAACAGACAACACCCCTTTTTTGTTGTTGAATGTGATGGGGGTTAGTATTTTGTTTGATTCCTAAGAACTCGTCTACAGCTGAGGTCGTAAATCAGGATCGTCTGCTTTGTCTCGTGTAAATGTTGCTAAAATCGTGCAGGAATCGGGGGAAATAGGACTTGTGAATCTGGTGTTGGTGATTGTAGCGCGGAAAACAACAACATACAACTTGAGTTGAAAAAGTGTTCACTAATCTTCGACGCTTACATGACCTTATTGTGTTGCAAGTGCCGTAAGACACTCACTAAAACTTTTTTTTAAACGTTCATTCAAGAATGATTAGGAGAGACAACTATCGTGTATTAAAAATACATGGCTTTGCTCCCCACTCCCGGTATTTTGTTAATTTGAGTACGTAATCCCAAGAGAGTATTTCTATGTGTACATATATACTTGAAGAAATAGTGGCAAGTAGGCCTATTTGTTGGAATCTCCCTTTTAACTTGCTGCGCTTCCTTGTTCTCAAGAACTCTTTATTATGTAAATACAAAGCTTAGAGCTGTTGGGCCACCACCCTAATCCTAGCTTCTTTTTGACTGATAGTGTGTTTTACACGTATAGACCTGCAGCGTGCGATTTGTCATTCATTGATCTATCGATCCGAGACATGCGTTCTTGCACCCAGCAGGAAACAACGTGTTGGTTTGTTCTACCCAGATATACTCGGGGGGGGTCTGCTCTTCTGATACTGAAGGGAGAGTTGGAGGTCTGGGTACGGCAAAACGGCTACGAAGTAAAGTTTCCCGGACCCGTTCGTGGGCCTGTAGTACAATGCGTGAGAGTGTCAGACAGGAAGTGTGTCCTTGACACAGCTGTGTGTCTCTTTTGCGGGTCTCGGCATGTCTTTGTTCAATCGGGCTTGGTCGGTTTGTTTGCTGTTCTTTGTTATTTGGTCGCGGATTAGTTGTACACTTTGCCGGTGCGTGTGTGTGTGTGTGTGTGT